AGCAGCATCACAAATATTTAACACTTCAAGTGCAAAATACGTGTAAATCTGTGTGACAATGAAGCGACAAGAGTGAGCCAAGGTGTTTGATATGTCTTGATGGCCGGGGCAGGCGACAGACAACACCACCTTACTACGGAGATTGGAGTAGCTTGTTTGGCCCAAACTAATCCTTTGATGTAGTTATCTATCTTTAAACCGATCATTTGGAATGTCCGCTTAATCTGTGATATTGTTAGGTAGTTGGTTAAACAAGGGATTTATTGATCACTATTAGTGTCCTCAACAGCAAGAATTTGTCACGTTTGGGAGGAAATATCGTCATAAATCGCCGCAAAGTTTGCACGCGGTGGCAACAGAGGTCATTTGAGGTCACGTAAACAAATCGGAAATGGCTACCGCGCAGGTGTGAAGGATGTATGTTTGCGTGTTGACGAATTGGGACAGCACACCACCAATTGGCATTTATCTCAAGGGGTTATTGGACGCCATTTAGAAATGTCCACGTTCTCGTACATTGCAACGGTAAAGTTAAGAACTTCTCTAGTTGAAAAAGGCCTGCTCATCCCAGTGCTAGGAGCATGGGCCAGTTTTCAAACGAACATGTACGTTACCTGAAGTGCATTGTTTTATACTTAAACTGAGAGTGTGTGATATCTTAAAATTATTGATACTGAGGGTGTGTAATATTAAATTGATGGTGAGAATGGAAAATATTTGTATTGATGTTAAATTGTGCATTATGACTGATGTTGAGAGTGCGCGATATTTGACTGATGTTTACAGTGAATATTTGATTGATGTTGAGAGTTTGGAATATTTGATTGATGTCGAGAGTTGGGAATATTTGATTGATGTTGAGAGTTCTTGAGAGTTGGGAATATTTGATTGATGTTAAGAGTGTGTGATATCTTATTGATAATAAAGGTGTGTTATATTTTATTGTTGTTTAAAGTTGGTAATATTTGATTGATGTTAAGAGTGTGTGATATCTGATTGATATTAAAGGTGTGTTATATTTTATTATTGTTTTAAGTGTGAAATATTTTGTTGATAATGAGTGTATGTAATATTTGATTGATAATGAGAGTGTGCAATATTTGACTCATGTTAAGAGTGTGTAATATTTGACTGATGATTAGAGTATGTAATATCGGACTCATGTTTAGAGTGTGTAATATCTTACTCATGTTTAGTGTATGTAATATCTGACTCATGTTTAGAGCATGTAATATCTGACTCATGTTTAGAGTATATAATATCTGACTCATGTTTAGAGTATGTATTTTAAGTGTGAAATATTTTGTTGATAATGAGTGTATGTAATATTTGATTGATAATGAGAGTGTGCAATATTTGACTCATGTTAAGAGTGTGTAATATTTGACTGATGATTAGAGTATGTAATATCGGACTCATGTTTAGAGTGTGTAATATCTGACTCATGTTTAGAGCATGTAATATCTGACTCATGTTTAGAGTATATAATATCTGACTCATGTTTAGAGTATGTGATATCTGACTGATGTTTAGAGTGTGTAATATCCGACTGATGTTTAGAGTATGTAATATCTGACTGATGTTTAGAGTATGTAATATCTGACTCCTGTTTAGAGTGTGTAATATCTGACTCATGATTAGAGATATCTGACTCATGTTTAGAATATGTAATATCTGACTCATGTTTAGAGCGTGGAATATCTGACTCATGTTTAGAGTATGTGATATCTGACTGATGTTTAGAGTGTGTAATATTTGACTGATGTTTAGAGTATGTAATATCTGACTGATGTTTAGAGTATGTAATATATGACTGATGTTTAGAGTATGTAATATCTGACTGATGTTTAGAGTGTGTAATATTTGACTGATGTTTAGAGTGTGTAATATCTGACTGATGTTTATAGTATGTAATATATGACTCATGTTTAGAGTGTGTAATATTTGACTCATGTTTAGAGTATGTAATATCAGACTCATGTTTAGAGTGTGTAATATCTGACTGATGTTTAGAGTATATAATATTTGACTGATGTTTAAAGTGTGTAGTATCTGACTCATGTTTAGAGTGTGTAATCTCTGACTCATGTTTAGGGTGTGTAATATCTGACTCATGTTTAGAGTATATAATATCTGACTCATGTTTAGAGTATGTATTTTAAGTGTGAAATATTTTGTTGATAATGAGGGTATGTAATATTTGATTGATAATGAGAGTGTGCAATATTTGACTCATGTTAAGAGTGTGTAATATTTGACTGATGGTTAGAGTATGTAATATCTGACTCATGTTCAGAGTATGTAATATTTGACTGATGTTTAGAGTGTGTAATATCTGACTCATGTTTAGAGCATGTAATATCTGACTCATGTTTAGAGTAACTAATATCTGACTCATGTTTAGAGTATGTGATATCTGACTGATGTTTAGAGTGTGTAATATCTGACTCATGATTAGAGATATCTGACTCATGTTTAGAATATGTAATATCTGACTCATGTTTAGAGTATATAATATCTGACTCATGTTTAGAGTATGTAGTATCTGACTCATGTTTAGAGTATGTAATGTCTGACTCATGTTTAGAGTATGTAATATCAGACTCATGTTTAGAGTGTGTAATATCTGACTGATTTTTAGAGTATGTAATATCTGACTCATGTTGAGAGTGTGTAATATCTTACTCATGTTTAGTATATGTAATATCTGTAGAATATGTAATATCTGACTCATGTTTAGAGCGTGGAATATCTGACTCATGTTTAGAGTATGTGATATCTGACTGATGTTTAGAGTGTGTAATATCCGACTGATGTTTAGAGTATGTAATATCTGACTGATGTTTAGAGTGTATAATATCTGACTGATGTTTAGAGCATATAATATTTGACTGATGTTTAAAGTGTGTAGTATCTGACTCATGTTTAGAGTGTGTAACATCTGACTCATGTTTAGAGTGTGTAATATCTTACTCATGTTTAGAGTATGTAATATTTGACTCATGTTAAGAGTATGTAATATCTGACTGATGTTTAGAGTATATAATATTTGACTGATGTTTAAAGTGTGTAGTATCTGACTCATGTTTAGAGTGTGTAATATTTGACTCATGTTTAGAGTGTATAATATCTGACTCATGTTTAGAGTGTGTCATATCTGACTCATGTTTAGAGTATGTAGTATCTGACTCATGTTTAGAGTATGTAATATCTGACTGATGTTTAGAGTATATAATATTTGACTGATGTTTAAAGTGTGTAGTATCTGACTCATGTTTAGAGTGTGTAACATCTGACTCATGTTTAGAGTGTGTAATCTCTGACTCATGTTTAGAGTGTGTAATATCTGACTGATGTTTAGAGTATGTTATATCTGACTGATGTTTATAGTATGTAATATATGACTCATGTTTAGAGTGTGTAGTATCTGACTCATGTTTAGAGTGTGTAATATCTGACTCATGATTAGAGTATGTAATATCTGACTCATGTTTAGAGTGTGTAATATCTGACTCATGTTAAGAGTGTGCAATATTTGACTCATGTTTAGAGAATGTAATATTTGACTGATGTTTAGAGTGTGTAATATCTGACTCGTGGTTAGAGTGTGTTATATCTGACTCGTGTTTAGTGTGTGAAATATCTGACTCATGTTTAGAGTATGTAATATCTGACTCATGTTTAGAGTGTGTAATATCTGAATCATGTTTAAAGTGTGTAATATCTGACTGATGTTTAGAGTGTGTAATATCTTACTCATGTTTAGTGTATGTAATATCTGACTCATGTTTAGAGTGTGTAATCTCTGACTCGTGTTTAGAGTATGTAATATCTGACTGATGTTAAGAGTATGAAATATCTGACTCATATTTAGAGCGTGTAATATTAGAATTATGTTTAGAGTGTGTAATATCTGACTCGTGTTTAGAGTGTGTAATATCTGACTCATGTTTAGAGTATGTAATATTTGACTCATGTTTAGAGTGTGTAATCTCTGACTCATGTTTAGAGTATGTAATATCTGACTGATGTTAAGAGTATGAAATATCTGACTCATATTTAGAGTGTGTAATATTAGAATTATGTTTAGAGTGTGTAATATCTGACTCGTGTTTAGAGTGTGTAATATCTGACGGATGTTTAGAGTGTGTAATATCTGACTCATTTGAAAAGTGTGTAATATTTGATTGGTGCTGAGAGTGGGTAATATTTGATTGATTTGGAGAGTGAGAAATATTTTATTTATGTTGAGAGTATGAAATTTATACGTGACATTGAGGATGTGAAATATTTTATTGGTATTTGGGTGTGTATTATTTGTCTGATGTTGAGAGAATGCGATATTTGATTAATGTTGAGAGTGTGCGCATTCTGATTGATATTTGGGTGTGTATTATTTGGCTGATGTTCAGAGAATGCGATATATGATTAATGTTGAGAGTGTGCGCGTTCGAATTGATATTTGGGTGTGTATTATTTGGTTGATGTTGAGAGAATGCGATATATGATTAATGTTGAGAGTGTGCGCGTTCGGATTTATATTTTGGTGTGTATTATTTGGCTGATGTTGAGATATGGCGATATATGATTATTGTTGAGAGTGCGCCTTCTGATTGGTATTAGGGTGTGTATTTTTTGGCTGATGTTGAGAGAATGCGATATTTGATTAATGTTGAGTGTGTGCGTTCGGATTGATATTTGGGTGTGTATTATTTGGCTGATGTTGAGAGAATGCGATATTTGATTAATGTTGAGTGTGCGCTTTCTGATTTATATACGGGCATGTATTATTTAGCTGGTGTTGAGAGAATGCGATATTTGATTAATGTTGAGTGTGCGCGTTCTGATTGATATACGGGTGTGATATATTCTGTAGGATTAGGGATGTTAAATATGCTTTATATTTGTCGACATTATTTTTCAGTTTCAAAAGAAGCTGCAGCAATAGATAGCTATCATCATAAACAAATTTAAGAAACCCATCAGTTATAATTCAACAGCATTTATAAATTCACCTACTTCAATACATTAAAAAAGACACAAATAAGAACAAAAACACAAAAAAAATCAAGATACAAAAAAAATTATTGCTTAGGAGCGTCTTTGTTAATTTAAAAAGAAGCAAAATAAGAACTGCAATTGAAACATGTTTTTTGCTGAAGTGTGACATTTCTTCAGGCCCAATTACGAAGTCGCATCCTTAATGACCGCCTCATGCATATGTTATGTCGATCGACAAAGTAGAAACATTGGTCCTTGTGATGTTAATTATACAATATTGATGATACGAAGATCTCATTCACATTAAGGGAAAATGGTTATTAAGTAAGGCTATGAGAATGTACTTGACGACACCGACTGGTCAGAGGGAAGATGGGGGAGTGGCGGATGTGTTTGTGACAAATGTTTCAAAATGCTCCGTACTGAAGCTCGTTTGTCGAAGACTGACTGGTGGGAATGGCGATTCGGAGAGTTATGTGAGGACCGGTGAGGATTGTAGGGCAGACTGTGTGCGGTTTGGCAGTGGCGATAGGGCTGGGGCGAGTCGGAGGTGTGGTGAGTGGGAGACACATCCCCACTGTTAGGAGTATTTCTTTGAGGATAGGAATCGATGGTCTCCATGCGCTCAAGCGAATCCTCCGAAAGTATCCCATCATGTGCCATTTGCATCTGCAAATCTCGACATGTTCCGAAAGATTTCCGAGATGGTGACGACCCTCTTGGACGTGTTCGTGAATGTAAAGGTGAATTAACCGAGTCCATGGAGTCTTCGTCATTGGAGAGCTCTACATCTGGCAGCCATGACGGTCTTTTGGTGAAACTCTTCAGTTCTGGCGGTAGAGATCTAAAGGACCTGTAGGACCCATGAGCTTTTGGAAGAGCTCCTTCCGACTGAACTAGCCTCTGTGGGTAGTTCATTTTAGGAAACGGGGAATCTGCTCGGGGATTGTTCCTGACTGCAAAGAGGAAATAGTACACACATGTATATCGAACTACTATTGGACAATACAGGGTAACAAACAACCAACCAAGTAGGTTGAAATCATGATGATGTATTTTGTTCTTAATGGAGAAAACTCCACATACAACATAACTCAAACGATGAGTGACGTTTCCTATATTACCATGTTCAACATCGTGGTTTTTCGTCGGAAACCAATCGATTCAACACTAACACTTCAACACATCGCTAACAATGTGCATTATCTTGTGTTTGACTGATCCTTGTTTAAATTATATATTGAGTGTACGCTTAATATACATTCATTTTGGACGGTTGTGTAAATACTTACATTCTTCGAGAAGTTCCTCATACTGATTTGTCTGCCCTTGTAAGTCAATGCAAGAGCAGCACCAAAACTCCCGACAGAAGGCGTTGCTAATTTCACAAACATCCGGTGGAAGTTCAGAAATAGATCCACCATTTTCAATAATATTCTTACATTTTTTAGTATGCTTCAATCTGAAAAAAAACATAGTAATCTTATTGCAACATAAACCAGTAATTAAACATAACATTTCTTACGATTTAAATTCTGTTTAATTCCAACTTATCATTATTATTATTAGTATGCCAATTTTAAATACCTACGCTGCATTGACAGGCGGGATATATAAATCGAATTTCACTTCCATTAAGACAGTTGTATCCGGTGTAATTCTGATCCAACCAAGGTAGATAACGGATATGTCACCCTCTCGAGCGTTCTTGTAACATTTTACGTTTTGAGTTTGCTGAAAACTTTACATCACCAAAAGAAATATGGAAAGAGAGATGTTCTCCCCTTGTCATCAACTCAATTTTGTCCTGTTTTACCTTTTTCAAAGTAAACAGAATCTTTCCACGCATTGGGGGTAAGAAAAAAGGCAATGGTGGATTTCAAACGTTTGAAGTGCCTTCAAAAACGTATCTCCATGTCCTTCTTTATTGTGATGCCATCTTGTAGCATATCAAATGTTCATTACTTACCATGTTCATTGTTTCCAATGTTTTTCAAATGATCCGTGCATAAATTAAATCATGTTGTGAAACGATTCTTTTTTTTACTTTGATGCCGCTTTAATTCTCATGAAGCTTTTCGGTTTTCAAAAAAGTCCGCTGGCAACTATAAATCTTGCGACTCTTTTCACGTGGATGACACATTTGCATACATTTGTCTTGTTATGTCTTATTACGATCGTTTAAAAACCTAGGATCGCTCAAATGCTTTTTACTGTTATTTGTTCCATATTGCAGTCGGAATATAGCATACCTCTCGTTCCACACTCGACAGCTGTGAATACACAAACTCAGGACAATGACGCCCAGCAATGTCCCGACCACTCCCACAATGACGTAGACTGTTTTGAGGGTGTCCCCCGAAATGTTCATTCCATCAGTACTATCACGTCTATAGGATTCTGAAACATACAAATGAACTGATCTGATACACTTATAGTGACATATAACTTATAAACAACTAAAATTACTCTTGTATGAAAGAGAGTGCAAAAGTGTTCAAGAGGAACAGAATGTTACTAACAGTAGTTGTATTTGACTCACATTGACTACAATTTTCTCATTCATAACACGGGTACAAACACCTGTTAGACTACACCTAGAAGACTGCTCAGCAATTTGGTCACCAATACAAATATGTCCAATCATAACGAAAGGCTTCCAAAAAACCCCAGAGGTCTGCAAAATGTGTCTCGTCCAGACCGAATTCATTAATTTAGTTTAAACATATTTTATTGCCAAAAAAATGCAAAAGGATTGGGCACTATTTACTCATTCATTGCAGTTTATATAATGTACATCTCAATATTCAACATATAATGCACACATTCATTTTTTACTTTTATGTACAAATTACAGTAGATTTTAAAATTTGTCATGTAAATGGAACAATCCAGCACAGCCAGCGCAGTGATATCCTGGCACTATTCCATACTTTCAGCTATTCAACAGTTCGTCACGTCCCGTGCTTTGTGGCTTTCTCCTTTTCATACCATCCTTTCTAGAAAATTTGTTTCCACCGCACTGACTGTAACTGAATGGCCCATCACATGCCTATATTACATACATCAAAGCACACGCACACTTCTTGCATTCACGCTCTCGTGCACTTAAAAAAGAAAGTTAAACATTGCAGAGGATTACTAAAATAATAAGGAACACACGTTTTGCCATGTAATACGGACCCAAGCTAAGAACTGAATATGAAAGATAATGAGGACTGTTGCAGAGAAGCGGAGGAACGTGACCATATTAAAACCTGCGAGTACTCGATACATACTGTTGGACATATATAAAAAAAAAATCGTCACTCGAATAATCTTCATGGCCATACAATAATTTCTCTATAAGTATTAAGAGGTAAGTATTCATGAAGATTTCTAAACATTTGAAATCTTTGATCAGTAAATATACTGCGTGTAAAAAAGAAATGATGAGCATTTTCATTAGGATATCCACATACACAAATAGAGAGTTGATTAGGTTAACATTAAAGAGATCATCATTTAAAGGGCTTCATTTATGACGGAGTTTGGTTAGTAAAATATTTAACTAACGGTCATCGGCTAAATAGAAAACAGGCACTTTAAATGTTTCATTTTGTTTTTTGAGGCAGTTTGTGAAGGTCTTTAAAGAATGTGCAGTTTTAATATTAGTGTCAAGCTCATTCCATAATCTTAAAGTAGAAGGTATGAACGAGTTCAGTGAAGATTGTAAACGGAAATTAGGAATGGAATAGTTCTCAAATTATAAGGAGTTAAAGTAGCTACTAGTGGCGGGAGAAGGTCAGTTAGGTAAGAGGGAGTCATATTGTTGTGAATTTTGTAGAAAAGTTGAAGTTTGCGGCGGGTGCGACGTTGAGACAAGACTTCCCAACCAGTTTCGAAGTAAAGAGGGGCACACCTAGCAAAAGATGTCAGGCCGGTGACAAAACGCGCCGCTTCTAACTGGAGTTTTTCAAGTTTATTTGCATCGGCAGTTGTACAACCGTCCCAAACTTCGCAACAGTATTCAAGCAGAGGGAGTATAAAAGTAAGATAAATTCTGTTTAATGTCTTGCGATTTAAAGTATATTTTAACTTGCGGAGAATTCCTATTTGTTTCGTAACAGTTTTACAAATGTTATCAATATGGTGAGTCCATTTACAGTTAGCATCTAGGAAAATGCCTAGATGTTTATGATGTTCGATAAAATCAATATTAACATTATTAAAAATGAGATTGACATCAAGCTCAGCATTGGTATTTGAAATTAGTAGCGCTTCAGTTTTATTAGGATTAAATTTAACAAGCCAATTTTCTGCCCAGTTATGAATTTTTTCAAGATCTCGGTTAGTAGTAGTTTCTAGTTCAATTGCGGAAGGAGAAGAGACGGATAGGGAAGTATCATCAGCAAAAAGACGAGAAGGGCTGACAAGGTTAGCATATACAAGAGAAAAAGAAGCGGACCTAAGACAGAACCCAGGGGCACACCAGCATTAGTTGTTTTAGTATGAGAAGTAGCATTGTGAATGAAGACTTGTTGATGGCGATTCTGTACATAATCGGATAGCCAGTTTAAAAGATTTCCATTAATTCCATAGCTTTTTAATTTGTGTACAAGACCTGCATGCCAAACCCGATCAAAAGCTTTGGAAATGTCGCAAACAACAAGACAGGTATGATGACGGTTTTCTAGATTTATACATACATTATGATAAATTTCAATTAGTTGAGTGAAATGGCTGAAATCCAGATTGGTATTTATATAACAATGATTTTTCTAATAAATAATTATGCAGAAATTATGTAATAACTTTTTCAAAAACTTTCCCTACAGTGCTTAATAAAGCTATTGGTCTATAATTACTGGGGCATTGTTTATCACCTTTCTTAAAAATGGGCATGACTAAAGCTTTTTTCCAGGAATTGGGATAAATTCCTTGATCAAAGAGACTTTCTGAATATAAGAAATAGCGGAAATGAAACAAAGAGCTGTGTTTTTAAGCATTTGGTGACTAATTTTATCATATCCAACAGCTTTACCTAATTTTAGAGACTTAAGGATGTCAACAATATCAGCTTGTGTAAAAAATATATTATCTATACGACTTTGGGATCTCATATCAACTTGTGGTAAAGGTACACCTGAGTCGTCTATAGTAGAGATAGACACAAAATAGTCATTTAAAAAATTAGCTTTCCGTTCATCATCTAATGCAGTAGAATTAGTAATAGGGTCTTTTAGAGGAGGTATAATGTAAGATACATCTGCACTTTTAGTTAATCTCCGAACCAGTTTCGAAAAATTCTTTTGTTTAGTATTTGCATAATTATCTAAAAGTCCATTAATATCATCATAAAAATGTTCTCTTGTCCTACGTTTGAGATTGTTGACATGATTTCTATGTTTTTTGAATTTAGCTAAATTCTCTACAGAAAAAAATATTTTTTATTTTTTTATACGATCTATTTCTAATCCTAATTTCACGGCGTAGTTCAGTAGTAAACCACGGTTTATCATTCGGTCCAACAGTAATAACCTTAGTTGGAATACAAAGATGGGCATATTCCAAATACTTATCTGTAAAAATCGAACACATATCGTCGCATGTATAAGCATTTCTAAATACGTATTGCCAATCGGTGTTTTGTAACAGGTTACCGAATTCATCCGGATGCAAGAGTTGCGCTCTTGATACACACGTCTTATCTGCTGCTGAGCCAATATTTGTATGGAGAAAATAACCCTTGGATATTTCAATCACAACACGTATTACAAGAGGTAGAGGCCGCACATGGTTTGTTTTTAACTATTGACACTTGCCATTGTGCCAATATCTTCTTACTAGCTCTGGCTAAGGAGATTTCTCTTTTAGCTCAGTTGGTAGAGCGCCAGCCTATAGATAGTCTGGGATGGATTTTTCGTTACTTTACTACGTCCTTTTACACGGACCATAAGGACATTTGTGTGTGCATCAAACCAACAGATTGTCTTTTATGAAATTTTGCGTGACATCCATAAAACCACCGGCTATGTCATGTATATTGAGAGAATAGTCTATAGATAGACAACCAGCGAAAATTTGACTCACCTGGCACAAGAGTGTGAGTTTTCTTGCTGACCTCACAGAACTTGCCCCCGTAGCCGTCCTTACACAAACAAAGGAATCCCTTGGGCGTGGCCACACAGTCCCCGCGCTCCTTACACGGCAGAGAATCGCACTCCTCGATCTCTGCCACAAAATAGAAATGTGACAGTGAAAACAACTAAGACACCTATTTATTAAATAATAACCAATTGTCGTACAATTATTCATTTTTATGAATATATATCAGCCAAATCCGACCGGTACTTTCCATAAGGAGACTCATTTGATATGTTAATGTAGTATTTTAAAAAAAATAGGAACGCAAATATGCTTCACCGTGATGTCCCTTTAAATACCTGTCATTTTCGTTATCAGATTCTTTGGAATAATTATGGACCAGTAAGAAAATAAAAAGTACAACAGACAGTTACTCCATTACAGATGTAAGAGTGGCATCTTAAACAAATGAGTTTTACATTAACTTCAACAAATGAGTTTTACATTAACTTAAACACATGAGTTTTACATTAACTTAAACACATGAGTTTTACATTAACTTCAACAAATGAGTTTTACATTAACTTCAAACATGTAAATTTGGTTCATGTAGTTTAGGAAAACTTCACACAGAGAAAATAAAAGAAGGGAATAAAGGGCTGTGTCCTGTTGTAGGCCAGAAAAACATGGTCGCAAGATTTCTTGTTCACCTATACCAGAAAGAGCATTGAAAACAGAATTCAACAAATTTAAATACTCTTATCTGAAGTTTAATAAAATCAGGGACGGCCGGGAAACCTGTCTTTACCTCGCTCACATCACTTCCCCCGGAGGCCTAGCTGTCCTTACCTCGCTCACATCGCTTCCCCCGGAAGCCTAGTCTACAGTCACACCGGAAGCCAGGTTGTCCCTCCCTGTTCCATGTGCAGGTCCCTCCATGGGCACATGGACTGGCAACACACGGATTCCCCACTGCATCTGTACTTACAGTAAAATATGACTTTGACATCAAAATAAAGGTGCAATTTGTTAGATGCACGGCGAACATGTCAGTTTGATAAAAATCTGTTTTATTGGAAATATATAGTTAATAGAATATAAGTTGCTTCTTGGACAGTAGAAGTTACTTGGTTTTACAACTCATTGGGTGAATAGTTGTCATATTTTTCACTTTTGCTTCGATTTTGCGGAAAAAATATTTTAGTATTCCACATCATATGTTTGTTCATGACTTGATAGCAGCAGCTTAATGTAAACTTTCAAAAGTGCCTGTTTCACGTAGTAACTTTTTCAAAATCGTATCAATATATGAATTATTTTTTCTGAAATCAGACCAACTAATTGAATCTAGCCGCAAAATGAACACAAAATATGAGACCGTATGTGATGATTCTAACGTGTCATGTTCAGTTTTTGTGTGCGAAGGGCAGTAACTCTTATGATGCTTGAAGAAACAACTGTTTCTGAATAGAAAAAATATACAACAGAAACTGGTAATATGTAGTATTTTTCTTTTGTAAAATGTATTTTTCTTCAAATATTGTATTTCCCCAACCGACTATTTTATATAGATGATATACTGATAAGAACTGCCAGAGTTGGGGAGCCCTTGGGACAGCCATCCAAACAATATGGTGTATACAACCAGGAGGGCTCTCATTCATTTTTCTCGCGTCAGTAACTGATAATTATATCTAAATTCTAATAAGTTAATTTGATAACATATTTTTATCAACATTCTACTGTGAAATTTGATTTTGAAATAAAACATTTGATAGAGCATACTATCACATTTCTTGTGGAGCGAAACACGAGGTCAGAAAAAAACATGGAAAACCAAAAAGAAGTAAAATTAACACAGAAATCGGCATGTCACTGTGTAGCTGATCACACTTTCACCTCCATGTAATCCTAATTCTCTCTCCACCTCCGACGTCATAGCCTTTGACAGTTTCTTTTCTTTGACTGAAATTATATAATGTTTTAAAAAAATACTTTAGATGTTTGAAAGTTTACCTGTTGTGATATATCGGGTTTTAGAAACAAATCTGAAGTCATTTCTCTCTCGTTATTGTGCTTCTGTATATCACATCTATTCAATGTGACTTAAGATTATTTATTTACATTAATGTTTTCAGTTACCTTTGTCATCATCATCTTTTTCCTTTTTGCCTTTTCTGTGTTTTTTCTGATGTCGTTTTTGTTTGGCTTCTTTCTTTCTTAAATTATCAGATACACTATCAATTTCTTCGTCATCCAAGTTTCTGGACGGAGACCGCTTTCTTCTGTCGTAATTGGCCAATTTTATGTTGTCTTCATAATACTTTTTATCATCATACCTATCAAAATTTCGAAGCGCTTTCGTCTTCGTTTGTGCAACATTATTTACCAGTCGAAACTGTACAATAAACAGTAAAATTACAATAGGAAACCATTTCAGCGATTCATCCATAGTCATGTTCGGCCATATTGTTTATGTCGTCAACGTGACGTGACGTCATTTTATTATGACGTAGTTGCTCTTCCGGGTTATCGTAAAGGTCATCATATAAATTCACTGGGCATTTCCGTTCTCCGAGTGGTTACAAATAAATTGTCGTTCACAAAAGCAAACTATAGGGAAATTGAAGTGGATACAATTGTACAAATGTATATATTTTAATTAACTGCTGTATGAGCACCTTTTATATATATTTTAAATCAAAGTCCTTTTTATAATCCACAAGATTTATGATAGGCCTTACTGTCCTTGCTAGTCCTGTGTGAAGCCGGTATAACGTATAAGGAAGCAGTACCCAAATCGGATCTCTTTTTGCAAAAATAAATAAATGTGTCAACAAATCAGTTATAGCAATTAATGATGTAGTCTTAGAATAGATAGCCATGCACCATTTTTTGTCTACAGATGATTAGTTTTTAAGTTCAAATAGCGCAAGAAAACGTAATTCAAACTCAAATGTCAATGTTTTGATTACGTTTTTAAAAAATGGCGCGTGCGACGACTATGCATTCTGTTTTGGACTATAGGAATAAATTCACAATATAGAAATACTTTTTGTCATATAAATTCTAAAGGTCATCATAAAAGGTAAGGTCATCATAAAATGTCATCGCCAAAATATGCTGAGAAAAAAAATATTCATTTGAAGTGAACGATACTGCAAAATGCAAACCTTGATCCGTTTTGGGTCCCGAAATTCGCAAAAACCGGAGAAGCTGATTCAGAGCGTTCTATAAATATCCCAAGTGAGGCCCGGGTGTTAATTTCGTTTGCAAGAACACCCATCGATATTCTTTCTTTGATACAACCATAAATTAATATAATTCCTCCTCAGATTGTTCAACTTATGATGATTTAAAAAAAATGATGGTTTGGTGATCCGATTTGGGTACTGTCACCTTAGTTCTCGATTTTCTGGAAACATTTTCTAAGCACAAAACATAAAACGTAAATTGACTGTGGTGCATAGGAAAACAAAAACAAAAACTGCTGCGATAAAAAATATTGTGAATTTTTAGGAAACTTTTGGAAAATAATAACATGTTTATTTGTATTTTAACTTAGTTTCCCAAATGAAATGTACTGTTACTTTATAATCTGCCGCAACTGTACCAAAATCGGGACAGTACCAAGAACAGGACACTTGTGGGAAAACGTTCCAATAAACTGTCTTTCAATGCAAGGAAGTACTTTTATGTTTACGGATACGTTTCATGACAATTAAACTGTACTAAGCTCTTTTGGCTCCTGATTATCGTTACATGAAAGGAAAGATTAATTTCAAGACTTTCCTGATTCACGTGCCGTGCGACGCTGTTTATTTATTACAAATATCCATGGTAATGAGATAATGATGGCGAGTTTAAAACTTGCCAATAGTATTTATCGACCTAAATCTCTCGAAACGTTGTTTTGCAATATTGCCTGCATTCGAAATTTATCACGAATTCGTGACTTTCAGAGAATTTCCTTAGTATCGTAGGTGGGTCAAGTATGGATTGTATTATAAAGAAAGAGAAAGTTCGCGCTTAAAACATCAAAATGGCGCCATGCTTGTGTTACAGTTTAGTACTGGTAATGAAAAGTCAAGCTGAGGGTTACGACCCGGTACGATCTACCTCCTCTTCAAGAGTCAAGCATGGAACGTTAGCCATTGGCTAGTGAAGATGGCTTAGCGGGTGATGTAGACGGTCTGTCGAGTCATGTATACCATCGACGTAATCAATAAATTATTTCATATTAAAAAGGAAGGCTACTAATTACTTCTGTAACAAACACAGAGACCTGAGCATTTGTTACAGCTTTATTTGGACCTAAGCTGATGTGTTCGGAGTTCAGATCAATTTACAGGGAAATGGAGATGGATTGGCATTTTTTGCATTCATAACAAATGGGTACAAAAAAAATAATAAAAAATCGAACAGAAATTATCTCTGGTCTCTCTGACCACGACATAGTCTATGCAGAGTTGAACCTTACCCCACACAAAAAAATATTCAAAAACCAAGATCCATCCCAGTACATAAAAACTCAAACTGGAATTCAATAAAAGCTGAGCTTATCAACGTGTACAAATGTATGACAGAAAATAGCGAGTGGGACGTAAACAAAATATGGGAGTATTTCAAAATTGAATTGTCTAAACTCATAAAAGAACATATCCCCCACAACATAGTTAAGACAAAACCCAGCCTACCTTGGGTTACCCCTGACATAAAGAAACTTATCAGGGGAGGAAATAGATTGTACAAACGATCAAATCAGGAGACACTGAAATAAAAAATAAGTATAAAAACCTGAAACATCATATACAGAGAAAACTCCGAACATCTTACTGGAGCCATATTGATAATATCATCACCCCAGAAAACACAACCAATGAAAACAAATTTTCCTGCAAAAAACGGTTTTGGTCATATATAAAA